ATTGTTGACTTAACGACTTAAGTAATTGATAAAAACCTTTTGCCTTCTATTATAGAGTCTGTTGTGTAAATCTGTATTGAATTATCGCGAATGTAAGCTACGATGAAGTCTTAGGCTGAGTTGCACCACCGAACTTTGACCGCAACTATAACTGTGTTTTTTGTATGGAGTTTGACAGATTTTTGACGTTTGTCAAAGTTAAAATAAAATGGTGCCAGCCCGAAAATACAAAATCTCGGTTGTGACAAACGGTGAGTGAAAAAATATATTTAGTTCAGATTCCCTTGTTTCTTTAGTAAGATTTTTATGATTTTTAGATTATTTTCTGCTCCAAAATCTTGTTTTCTATACTATGAAGTCAGTTCTTCGATATTTTAGCTTATAAAGAAAAAAATTAAAATTGTTTGTTAGCTCAAAATCTATAACCACGTAATTCCCTACTGTCAACATAGAAAATATATTTAGTTACAGTCTTTTAAAAACGCTAGGAAATATTGCTTCTTTCACACAGGTTGATGCACGAACCTATTTTAACACTTGACGATCCTATATCATCATTTTTATTCTTCAGCTAATTCTCCGCCTATAAGCTTTTAAGTACGATATTAAAATTTAATTTCAAAATTAATTTTCTGACCATACCCAAGCAGTTTAGCTAACCACAGTCTGCTAGCGCTTAAAGCTTCTATCTTAAGGTATTATTTTCCAACTGTGTCAAAGCCTGGCTGGAATTTATAGTTTTCTTCGGTTAATTGTGTTGTTAACCTGCTCTTTATGTTTAATTAGAAAGTACTACTATAAAAATAACAGTGATTACCGATTACAGTCAAGTTTAATTAAAATACCATTGGCAATTTCGTTTTCAAATTGTATTAAAATAAACAGATACACTTTTTATTGCGATTTAGACAGCAAAAAAGTAGTAAATTTCGATGGAACGAAGGCGATTTCTTCCACACACAGGTTTTAAAACTATTAAGGGAATAAACTTGTCATTTTGACACATTTCCCATACTGAAACTATCAATGTACCAGGAGTTATTCTCGGATAAAAGTTTGGTCAAATCGGGCCTAAGTAAACTGGAGTGGGTCACTTATGGACTATGGTGCTTTAAACAACTATTTTGATACTTATAAGTAAATAATAATAAATTAATATCAACCGAATTGAGAACCTCCTCCTTTTTTAAGTCGGTTAAAAACTAAATTACGAAAACATTACAAAAATATTTCTTAATAATAACAGGGATGCCAGATTGAGCTGATATTGGTTCCTATAGTTAGGTACTTATAGGAATTCTTAGTGAAGAACTAAATTCAATATCTCAGAACTAGATCTCGATAATTTATAGAAAGGGCTGCAAATCCGTTTCATACTTTCTACCGCTGTATGCCCAGAAGAAATACTTATCTTATGACAATAGGATTTGATTGTACTTTCAAAAGCACTTGTGTTCTTTAGGCTTTCTGAAGTACACCATCGATCAACACTATTTCTTTTTCAAATTTTTAATTGTGTAACACTGAATGAGAGTGAGAGCATAGAGGCTTAATAATTAAGCATAGAGGTTACATAATATTTTAAAATTTATTTGTTTGCCAAGGAATATCAAAAGTTAATAATATTACGAGTATATTTATAAAGAAACAAATAAAATGATCCTTACTTGCAACACAGTTAAAACATGACATGTTACACTTTACACACAAAGATAGAAAAATACGAACCAAGTCTTCTATAACGCACTTGAGGCCTGCAATAACTTTCTATGTTTTTTCGTTCGCCGTAAGTAGTATTGTAAAAATAAATGTCAAGTTACCTTTTCACTACACAAACAATTATCACTAACGAATGTATAAGCCTATCATCAAGAGAACTTGACCCATTCTGGTGAATGTATTGATTGAAAAATTGTGAAAGGTGTAGATAAATTGATACACAGAGATGCGTGACCTTTTAAAATATGTGAATTTTCGAGATGTACTATCACTAGTACACACCGAATTGCCCAGACATCTAAAGTATTATATCAAGTATTTGTTTTATTATTATCTTTGCCGTATAAAAAAGTTTTTTGGAGCTTCTATACGGGGATACAAACTTCAGTTAGCTAATACGATGAGTTCATCATCTTGGATACCTCTTAGGTACAATACTGACCGCCTCGAGTTGATACGGTTACGATCCGTTTCCGGGTTTATAAGACAGTGTGCTTCGTCCTTATACTACTGATTCTGTGTATAGAGATATCTGTTTACATTGTACTACACACTTATTTTTTACACGATTTAATGAGCATTTGTTTTATTTAAAAGTAGGCAGTTCAAGCTGCCCAATTTCAATCCACTAGGACCTGTCAGTCAATATCCTGGGCTTTGCAAGGCCGCAAGGGGGAGTCGTTGTAGTCTTTCTTGAAGGGACTGTAATTCATACAAAGCCACAGGCAAAAGCTAGTTTATGTATAATAGAGAAACCAGTACAGATAGTGCTAGTTATAAGTAACGAGACCCACGATTGACCCCATCTTACTGGAAGAAAGTGACTAAGCTTGTATACCAGGCTAGAGACAATTTATGTTCGACTCCTGGGTTGAGCTTTTATACTGGGTGGTAATATATTTTATTGGAGAGTTTTCAATATGCAAACAGCTTATTAAAACTTATTTTAACTATTGTTTTATCTCATTACATTACTTGGCGCGGTCACCATTTGATAGAAAGTGACAAAACAGTGCAATAATTAAAATACGTTTACCTATTACGCTGTTTGCTTTATTATGAATAAGGGTATTCTTCTTTAAAATATTTTAAGCAAAAAACCTATTGATTTAATTTGATTTGAGTTGATGTTGTCGATGTATACATACTATACATATAGATGTAGGCAGTCGCAGTGGCAGACGTATTTAGTGACTTACTTTTAAGCCTACGTGCAAAATAGTGTGTAAATATTCTAGGCATTCTTCATTTAAAACTTACTTTCAGCCAAAGAATTCACAAAAAATACAGTCTGCATTTCAAAATTCTTGCCATCTAAAGCCAGGTCAAAATTTCACTGCATAGTAAAGTGCGCACAGCAGTATCTGACATAGATCTTTGAAGCATATTCTCTTAAGATAGAACGTCACCTAATGATACATTTCCCACGTATATGAGAACTCATACAATAGATCGCTTGATACCTATTAAGGCTCAATTATTTATAATTAAGAGTTTTCTCCATTTCTATTGATGACATATCATTTTGTGGACGATCGAATTGCGGTTTTATAATTAAGGCAAGAATGACTTTTTGTAGCAGAAGATCTTGTGTGTTCTAGTTAATAATAAACTCATTAAGTAAGTGATGTTGGTATATGATTTGATAACAATGCACTGAGAAAATATCTCACACATTTGAATGCGAAAAGCAGTAAATTTTACACTATTTATTCTCGTAGTGATACTTTGATAAGAAATAAAAATTGATTTAGAATTAATTGTTTCACAAGATCTTTAGAACGATCCAACAATTTTTGAACAATAAATTGTTCTGGTGTTGATTTTCTCATGAAAATAGAGTAAAATGTTTAATGTTTGGGAAGTATTAACATAAATTAAACATGGGAATTCTCACTGAAACAATACAAGAAAGTAGTGAATTTATCTAGCGTATGTAATTAGATAAACCCATCTTGGTTGAGTGGGATTAATAGTATGCATATTTATGTGGTAATTATTACAGTTCAAGAAACTAAAAGTGCTTTATGTGTGTCTTTAAACATGTAATATTATTATTATGAACTTTCACCGGGTCAAACTTGACCTTCGCTGGTTGGGTTTTTATTGGTGGTCAAGCTGTAGATCCTGGCTACACAGGAGTTGCAGCGATGGGAACGAGAGGCGGGAATAGTCCCGTACTTACGAGTATGTAAAAGTATGATGATGATAAGTATGATAATATTATTATAATATTAAAAGTTTATGACGCGGTAAATATTAATAATATGTATTAACTAAAAAATATTATTAAAATAATATAACTATTAATATTTTTTGATTGACTGCTTGATATATTGGTGTTTCATGACAACTTAAAATATTGGACGTGACAAAATATCGGTAGCTAATAATTGCGTTTTTTAGTGTTTCGGAATAAAAATGTATTAAATTAATTATTTTTCAGCTGAATTACAGAAAGACGAAGATGAAATTTTTAGACATGTTTTGAAATTAAAAAGACTATTATTTTTAAAACAATATTTCTTCTAGTACTTAAATATTAAAAATATGCAAATGCTTTTGAGAAATTCAAAATTGCAATTATGATAGCATCAACTAAAATTTAGAGATTCTGCACATCATGTAACCAGTATTTAAGCTTCAGGAGATTTTGCAGGCTTCACCGGTCAGAATGGTAAGTATGTATGTAAGTATAGAAAGTACACAAGCGTCGCTAGAAACGTATTGTATAAAATTAAATTATAATGTTTCCGATATTATGTTATATTGTGTATTACTATGTCATAGGTACGAGTATGCATCCTAACGAGGTAAAATGATAAAACAATAGTGCGCAAATATTATGCAGTAACAATGGACAACTAATAATTTTTTAATGACCTAACATTTAATAACTGTTATTTCCTGAATTATGAATCCTGAAAAATGCCTACATAATACGAATCATAATGGTCGAGAATGCTTTAGTGCATTAAGTTCGCCTTATGTACAAATTTATTTTGGCATTAAAGTTTAAATAAATAATATGAAAAGATGCTACTTTGTTGAGAAACCTAGTTTTGTGTTTTTTCGTTTATTAATTTTTAATTTTGTAATCAAACTGTCCACGACGCATGCCGTTGTAGCCTCTAATTAAGACAACACTTAGTTCTTAGCATTTTTAGCTTTATTTCATTTTCTTGTTTGTCTTGTTGTCCTAATAAATAAAATACATAAAGAATTATCTGATACCAATCAAGTGACGTCATGTGTTATAAGAAGTAAGGGATTGTATTTACCTTGGAGACCAATAAAGCCTTTCCTGCAAGCACGAACAGCCCAGCGATGGCCAGTGGGATCATGGCCGCCATTTTCATCGCGCCGCCCATCATCATCATGCTCATCATCTTCTTCATCTTGCCTCGCCCTGGAAAATTCGGTGATGGACATGTTAAATGCAGTTCATAGATCCTTTTAATTTAATTATCTTTGTCTCAAAATGTTCAAAATATTCCGGAATCAATGCTGCTGAAAAGTAAGGATATTCGTTAGTACAGTTAATGTAACTTTGTTAGACAAACGTAAAACTGGTAACTTTGATTTGAATGACACAAACTCCTCAATATGTAAATGTGTCAGTGGACTTGTGGGGATTTATTTTCTACAAACCTGATGCATGAAAAAATTGATATACAGGCATTATGATTGGTCAATAATTAAAAATTCTTGCCAGCAATTAACGATGCTACGCATTCAAAATAACTTTCGTTGAATTATAAGTATTTTTATTGTTTGGAGAGCCCGAAAATTAATGGATGAAAATCTTAGCCGCGTACAGAAAGAAGCCCAAAACTTGCTTCAAATTTGAGTACCTAATAGACTTAGAAGCTTTTGATTTGTTAAATTTTAATATCACTAATCACCGGACAGAATCTATTAAGATTGAGCTTCTAAATAAATGTTGGTAAACTAAGTTATTAGCAACTTAGAGAAAGAAATAGCTAATGAAGATATTAAAGAATTAACAGAATCACGGACGTGTCATTTCAACACGCATTTTCGCAAACAACATTGTCACCTATGAATACCATCGCGTGAATTTATACACTTCCCCAAGTAGAAATGATTAACTTCAACGTTAGTGAAATGAAACGATGTAATAAACTTTAGTAATAGTTGCTATTACGAGTAATTGCTACTGTTGACAAAATTTACGGGAGAAACTATGAGGTACTTTTTGCGTTGTAATTTTTTTTCGTGATATTTTAGGATCTCCTATAAAATGGGATCTAAAAGATATAAAGAAGTGTTTGTGTTGAGAAAACACTTATGAATAAAAGACTCAAATGAAAATATCTATTGCCAGATTAATCTTAGTACAAAAACAAAAAGGCAGACTTCCACACTAGGCATTGCCAGTATATTACTGGAATAAAATCGTATCGACCGTATAAAAATCTTACAAAAAAGATTTGATTATCTATCTATATAAATAAAAATGAATTGCTGTTCGTTAGTCTGATTAAAACTCGAGAACGGCTTGGCCGATTGAGCTGATTTTGGTTTTAAAATGTTTGTCGTAGTCCAGGGTAGGTCTAAACGGTGAGCAAATAAGGAAAAATTGCGATGGCTTATTTATTGCCTTTAAGGTGGAACAGAGTTCGCCGGGTCAGCTAGTTATTAATATTTTCGTCCAGCCCAAAACTTTCTTTCAAAAATTGCGTGAGAATCCACCACGTCGAATCACAGATGATTACCTAACAACAAAAATCCCATCATTTTTGGAACAATAGTTGATGTTTTCGAGTCATTAAAGATTACTGTGACCTTTGCTTGATCTCACCATCATTCAAATACTTGACTTTCTATCGAATTACTGACCATTGACTTTTTACTCTCCGATGGTTTTTTCACGACTCCATCACGAATTAGAGGCTTGTATTTTTGCGTAACATTAATCTTTTGTAGGATCTTCTGCCGATTTTCTGACTCAGGTGAGTTTGTTTACAATAAAAATATTATCTATTTCTTATTTCTTCCTAAATATGAGATTTTCATCACGAACTAATCTTAAAAATGAAGGGAATCTATTTTATAAGCTTTTGAATATTGTGACCTTAGGTCTTACCTAAATAGCCGAATATCATAAAAAGCTCTTCTTTGTCATGACAAAATAGTTGAAAAATTATAGTTCACTGTCTTAAATGAAAAAAATTACGTTCCTGATCATAGAATTTATACTCCTTTAATGCTTGAGTTTCATTGGAGGCCAAGTTTTAGATCCTGGCTGTACAGGAGCTAAAATAGAGGAAATGACTAAAGGGGGAGGCTCAGGCTATTTCAATTACTTTATAAGTTGTTTGTATCATGAACACAATATACCTTAATAAGAAAGAATGGAACTGGAACTAAAAATTTAAGCCATGTAACTGCTTTTCTTTAAAATACGCATGGTCATTTACACGCATCTTGCAACGCTCTTAAACAGCTTTTCCCATAAGAAAAGCTTTATGGCTTAGAAATTAGATCACCCCATTACTGGACCAAGACTGATGCAAATGGCCATAATCCATGGAATTGTTGTAAATCGATGTTGGTAATTGTGGTTTCTCTCGATTTAGTTAGTGGTTATGGGGTGATATGGCGGTGTTAATGGCAGAAACAGTGTTTGTGGTTATAACAGTTTTATAGTGGTGTTATGTGAATTCCTACGGGTTTTGAAAACGTTTTGTTGGTCGAAATTGAAGATTTTGATGGTACATCATTAAGATTCATTAGAGCATGAAATATACACTTAAAATAATAACAGTTTAATTAAAATACACTTTTGTAACTTAAATACTTACTAAAAAAATGATTAGGTATGTGACTAAACATGTAAGCGCTTTGGTTTTTCTGTAAGTTTATTATGTCGCTCATCGAAAATGAATAAAGATTTCCTTTTAGTAAATCTATACTTATACTTATAATAAATCTGTAGAGAGGTCAATTCTGTACATGAAATATATTTTCAAAATAACTATCAGGGGGTGATTAGTGATCGATACTGATGCCAAAAATGCAATCAGTAAAATTTTTGTCTGTCTGTCTGTCTGTCTGTCTGTCTGTCTGTATGTATGTTCCTTATAGAAACAAAAACTACTCGACGGATTTTAACGAAACTTGGTACAATTATTTTTCATACTCCTGGGCAGGTTATAGGATACTTAGGAATTCCCACGGGAACGGGAATTAGCGGGAAAATCCTTTTGTATGAAAAATCTAAACCGCTTAAGTTAGACGCTTGAAATTTGGCATGCAGGTACCTTAGTAAACTTAAAGCTTAGTTACAACAGGATATTGCAAAATTCTCACAGGAACGGGAGTTAGCGGGAAAAAACATTTGTATGAAAAATCTAAACCGCTTAAGTTAGACGCTTGAAATTTGGCATGCAGGTACCTTAGTAAACTTAAAGCTTAGTTACAACAGGATATTGCAAAATTCCCACGGAAACGGGAGTAAGTAGGAAAAAACATTTGTATGAAAAAATCTAAACCGCGTAAGATAGACCCTTAAAATTTGGTATGAAGGTACCTTAGTTAATTTAAAGCTTAGTTACAACAGGATATTGCAAAATTCCCACGGGAACGGGAGTTAGCGGGAAAAAACATTTGTATGAAAAAATCTAAACCGCGTAAGATAGACTCTTGAAATTTTGCATGCAGGTACCTTAGTAAACTTAAAGCTTAGTTACAACAGGATATTGCAAAATTCCTACGGGAACGGAAGTTAGCTGGAAAAAAAATTGTATGAAAAAATCTGAACCGCGTAAGATAGATGAAGGGGGGGTAAAACGAGATCCACGCGTACGAAGTCGCGGGCGGCCGCTAGTAAGTCTTAAAACTACCTAAGCTTTTTCAAGCTCCTTGAAGTTCATTGAAGCTTTTCATCCCATTGACCTACTTATTTGTACGTCTCTATTCAGATGATTCATATCTAAATGTACACAGTAAAAAGCACAAAAGATGTAACAATAGACGTGAGTCACATACGATTCATGTGACACAGAAATAGTACAGTTCCTGATATTTCCATGAGAAAAATCTCGATTAATTTCCAATTCATTTTCTTTTAATCACACAGAAGAGAATATTGAGAAAATTAATTGAATCTTGCATGCGTAATAAAATGCATCGCAGTTTATATTCTGTAATAATCGTTTATTATAATCAATAAAGTATAGGCTATGATAATGAGTAGAATTAATAACATTTATAATAATACATGAGTTGCTTTTTTACCGTAAATTAATTTTACATAGACAAATAATTAATAATTAAAATACTGCTATTATAGTTTTATGATGTTAAATGAATGTTTGAGTATGGTTTGATCTATTGGTGTTTGCATTTTTGCAATTTTTGAGTTATTCATACAAAAAACAAAAATAATTTGGTAGACGTTTGTTATATTTACTCAAAAATCTAGTGTAGGTACCAATGTCCTAGAGGTAATGAAAAGAAAGATAGAGAAGCTTAACATGTTTTGACTTACTTGCCTAGATATTCAAATGTTTATTTTAATGTTTAATTTCATTCATGTAACATCCAAATATTAGATGAAATGAAAAATTAAACGATTGTGAAAACAAAATATAATACCTACTGTTTAGTTTCAATAAGTTTCAGACTAACTTTAGGGATGTATTTATAAGTTTATCATGTTCCAACCTTTGTATTAATGTTTCAATTGCTTAAAGGTAATGTATTGTATGATATTCATCAAAATATTGATATGAACAATGATTTGAAAGTTCAAAGTTGAGGATAAATGTTCTTCCTTTCATCAACGACGATAAAATCAAAAGTCACGCCAGGCGATTGAGCGGAAGTCATGCTGATGATTTTAGGCAAGTGAATGCAAAACTGTATGTCATTGAATGTAATTTAATTAAGGCTTTAAGTCAATTATGATGATGAAAACTTTGCTAATTTGCATGGAAAGTGCGGGTTTGAGTAATTAAACGTTTGCATATATGAATATAGGAGATGAAAATGATAGTTGAAGTTATTAGTGGAATCACAATGAAAATTATAATAAGAAAGGTTAGGTATTGCAATAAAAATAATGAGAGAGTTGTGCGCCTTTTGAGCTTGAATGAATCATGCATTTATAGTTAAGTAAATGACAACAACTTAAATATATTTGTATGTATGCAAAATCTAATAATATTGAACTTTTTTCAAAGGAAATATGCAAAAAAGCTATTTTTTTATCTACAATAAACAAAAATGATTACCTTCTTCGACGCCCTTATTGAGGTCCTGTCCTGTGATCTTAGGAAGTGACAGTTGGATCGTCCTGGAGTTGGCAAAGGACGCAATCCTGTCCCACAGCATATCTGTCAAAGCTTCATTCTTGTCAGCTAAATTCCTTGGCAAATTCGACTCTATGTCATTCTCACTGATCGGTGTCACCTCCGATTCCGATGTCTTCACAATTTCTACTCCATCCACCAAAGGAATCGCCTCTGCTCTCGCTGCTCTATCGAAGAACAGTATCGCCTTCTTCTTCAAGCAAGGAATAATCCCGTCACTCCGTTGACAGTCCTCGTATATCCTCATGGCGTATCTGACTCCTAAATCGTCTCTCGCTGTCACCGCGATGACAGCAGCTGCCAAAATTAACACTTTAGCGTACATTTTTGATGTAAACGGGACGGATTGATAAAAAAGACTGTGGATTCTCGTGCAAACAACGCTCAATATATAGCCTATGCGGTCATGAAATGAATTGTACGCTCGGATCGGGGGTACGGTGTTAGGCTGGTACCACACTGTTAGAAACAAGCGTGCACGACCGACTCTACTAGACAGTTAGGTGCAATTTTGTGAAATGTTGCCAGTGTAGAGAGAGGCTTAGACAGTGTGCGAGTGAAAAGGAAAACGTTGTTTATTGAATGAAAGGGTAGAGAAGAGGCTATGTTGAGATTGACCTTAAACCCTTTTGAACTTTTGATTGTGAATTTTTCGTTGTTTTTTGCCGAAGTAAGTGTGTTAGAAAAGAATTGTGTGAGAAGCACGCATTGTTAATTATGTATTCAATTAAAACCTTAGGCATAGTTGATTGAAAACTACTTATGCTATTACAGCAACAATGAAATAGAAAATATCGCTAACCGGACTACAAAACAAGGTGTGATAGTGGGTTCAAATCCCTCAGGGAGTAATTTTGAGTGAAATGATCACGAATTGCACTTGAGGTCTTAGACGATCATGTATGTGTTATATTATGGCATATTCATGTTTCAAGTTTGTTTACCTATCAACATTGTGCTATAACTTCTGCATGCTTTGTCGATGTGATTGTTTGAATAAAAATCATTGTCATCACCACCTACCACTGATTATAATATCATTATCATCTTTGGTTTGATAACTAAGCAGTATGTTGCTTATTACCTTAACCAAATTGCTGGAGGTTGAATTAAAAAACAGATAACCCACTAAGGCACGTACTTAACAAAAAAGTAGTCAAATTGAGCACCTCTATTGCAAACAATAAAAAATAAACAGTCGTCAGTAACGCTATCTAATATTGCCTTGTCGAATTATGTCGTTTATTGATATGACTATGAATATAATGGAATATTAAATCTTTTTTTGAGCCAAATTTTTCCATCTTTTTTCATTTTTGTAACTTGGCATTTTCTGACAACATTCTTTAGTATTGAGTCCACAATTTTTCACGACCAACGCTGTCATTAACAATTATACCAGTTCCATTGTAATTAAAACATATGAACTCCCTCAGTCAACAGTTCAGTACCGTAAAGATATACTTCAAGATATATTAAATGCACGCAACTATGTATCTGTATACATAAATTAAATCTACACTACAAAAATGTTCACCGCTTCTGGCATTTCGTATGTAAAACTAAAAATTTAGATGCAATTTTTTTGTAAAACCGTGTTATTATTGCTAATAAAGCTACGTTATTGTGATGAATTCAGAAATATACCCATTTCACGGGTAAAAGTTATAAAACTGCATGTCGTTTGTTTGTTACGTGTACTTTCTCTAATACTTGTGTTTAGGTCCATCGTTCATTTCACGTGTATCATACTTTTTTAACGTCAGAAATTGAATATTACGACATTGGACTTGGATGCGAGCAGTGCAGGACCAAACGTTATGGTAGTCCTTGTGGGACGCCTTTGTCCAGTAGTGGACGTTTTTTGGTTCAAACTAATTAGACACTACTTAGTTTCTCCCCGCGGTTTTTATCGCATGTATTTTGATCTGGCACAGAAATTACTGCTGATTACCTAATTTAAGGCCTTAATTTAAGTAAGTACCAGTATAAATATTAAGCCTTCCCTCTACAGTTACTAGTCTGATTCAACCACATAGTTAATTTTTCGACAAAATGTGGCATATAAATATTTTCTTAAGTTCCAAATCTATCTTTTCACGCAATTTCATCCAAATCACTTATGAGTTTGAGAATCACAACTTAGTTACGCGTACAAAGCGTTACAATTTAGACATGCTTAAATAATGCATTCTTTACAAGGTTGCTGTGCACTTTTAACGGCACTTATAACCCACATCTTTATCACAGCCTGGATTTTTAAACTATTTAGCCAGCGCTACAGTGTGGGGTAGTGTAGGCCAAATTGTCCATTTGCCTCTGGTAAATTACAGAGGATTTCCTCCAGCAGTTGAGACTAAAATAATGACCTGATGATGATGATGATGAAGTTTCATTTGAGTTTCTTTTTATTCAAATCTCCACGAAAATATCTTGAAAATGGGCTTAGATTTGGTTTGGTACATCTGTGGGAGACTGGAGTCTAGAGTAGCCTACCAAGTATCTTAGAGCGCCAGGTCTCCATCCCAAGAGACGTAAGTAAGTAAAGTACCATCATCATCATCATCTCAGCCATAGACGTCCACTGCTGAACATCCGATGGTGCAGCAAGGTTCTGGAGTGGAGGCCGCGTACTGGAAAACGCAGCGTGGGACGTCCACCCACAAGGAGGACCGACAACATCATAAAGGTAGCAGGAAGGTGCTGGACGCAGGCCGCTACCAACCGGGCAACATGGAAAGTAAAGTACCATACAATTTAATATTATTACAGATTTTGTTTAGTATCACTTTGAGTTTGCCTTATATGTATGCTTAGAATGTGCGTAAAGCCTAACATCACCTTGGCAATCATTACGTGCCTCTTAATTATACTTAGGAGCAACGGGCTTGATGCACCGTCTATACTTAGCAACCGCGATTATAACAGGACGCTATAGCAAACACCATTCATACTATAGTTCACATACTTGCGTAAATGATAGATCGAGGAAAAGTGAAAACTTAATAAAGATTTGGATCTGTCATAATTATTACGAGTGGACAAGATAGTGAGATTGAGAGTTATGGGAAGTTACTTTTCCATTGATTCCGCTTGCTTAATTACTTTGTGAATATAAAAAGACTAGCGGCCGCCCGCGACTTCGCGAAAATGAATCATCATTATCATTTCAGCCACAGGACGTCCACTGCTGAACATAGGCCTCCCCCAATGACTTCCACATTGCACGATTGGTAGCGGCCTGCATCCAGCGCCTTCCTGCTACCTTTATCAGGTCGTCGGTCTACCTTGTGGGTGGACGTCTCACGCAGAAAATGAATAGAATACACAGACTTAGTGCTTTTTAATTCCTAAAATGTCTTCCTTCTCTCCTCCATTTTAAGGATTAGTGTCAAAAGGATAATTAATTTTTATCCTTTAAGGTAGCCTTTCAAACTAAACGTCACAGACGCAGCGTCTATAACTTTGGTCTTGTGCCACCAACGCCGCCTCACTAACTCGCTTTGAAAGGCTACCTTTTAGACCAAAGCTAAAGACGCTGCGTCTGTGACGCTTAGTTCGAAAGGCTACCTTTACTATATTTTTACAATTAATAGCTTCGTTTTTATTCAGCAAAAAATACTAGTAAAGCTACTTAGTTTTTTATCTCTAATACCTAACTGGCCGATCGGAATGGGGTTTCCTATCAAACCGAGCGTAGATTGATATAAAAATAATTATCGTAATTACAAAATTGATAAAAGAAGCCGGGTGAAAGGTCGACTTTCGCTATAATACTGCTAACGATACTGTCAGTCTATGTTACTGTTGGACATTCTCGTTGCTTGATTAGAACTAAATAGAGTTCCGTTTTTGGTTAGTTTTTTTTTTTTAAACTCTAGATTACCTGTTGTAAATTACTAATAATATAATTATTTTATGCAGATTTTGGCTGCCAAAGACTCTTGGGGTAAACTATCGTTCAGCAGTGGACTTACAATGTAAGCAACTACAAGTAGCCCCTGACATAATGTATATTGATAAATTTATTTAGTCTGGAGCCAGTAAACAGTTGTGATGGGTAGGTAGCGGCAGTGGCGTAGCTTGGGGGGGGCAGGGGGGGCCATGGCCCCGGGCGGCATATGTAAGGGGGGCGGCGGATAAGAAAAAAAAACATTGCAAACATTGCATGAACAAGAAAAAAAAGTTAAGAAAAAAGAATACACGTTGGTGCGCTAGAGGTGATGCTGTAAATGCCCTTAAATATCACTACAAAGAAACATTGACCGCACTAGAAAAACTAACAGAAACTAATGAAAGTTTGAACACACGCACAGATGCAGGGAGTTTATTAGTCGCTATGCAATCATTTTCATTTTTATGTTACTTAGGCTTCTGGGAACCGATACTACGGGAAGTTAATGATACTCAAAAGTATTTGCAAACAGAGGGACTCAATATAGATCAGTGCGCCCAGAAAATGAGTGCTTTACAGACCCTATTAAAAGAAAATCGGCCTGAATTTGTAGACAGAGCTCTACAATAAGTATGCTAAAAGTTTATGTGAAGAGCTTGGAATTTCAGTAGAACCCCCAAGACAAATCAAGAGAAAGCATCTTTTTGGCGATGGATCTTTAGACGTTGGGTTATCGTACGAGAATGAACTCAGGCGAACAATGTTCAATTCAATAGACAGAGTAACTGCTGAAATTCGTGATCGATTCCAACAGCTGCAAAATCTAGCGCAAGAGTATTCCTTTTTAATGCCGGCAGTAATGCTGGGCTCAGAAAAACTTAATCTAGATCAAGCTCCTCGAGACATAAATACAGATGAGTTCCAACATGAGCGCGCACCTCTACGAGCGTTCGTAGCTGCAACAAATCCAGACTGTAAAAAAGAGCTTATGAAGTCCGGCTCTCTGGGATTATTAAAATATATTATTGACTCCAAACTTGAAGATAGCTTGCCAAACATTGTAATTATGTTGAGAATTTTTTTAACGACTGCTGTCAGCAATGCCAGTTGTGAGAGCTTTTCTAAACTAAAGCTGATAAAAAATTACCTTAGGTCGACTATGTCTACGTTGAGACTAACAAATCTAGCTATACTGGCAATTGAAAATGAGATACAATTTGATATCGACGATTGTGTAAAAGATTTTGCTTTGAAAAAAGCACGAAGAGTATATTTTTAATCTATTTTTTTTAAGTAATAGCAACAAAAATATTTAAGGAGCTTATTTACCCCTCTAAAACTTGCGCCACAGATAATTTTTCGTGATTTCATTTCAATTTTTTTGATTTCAAATAAAAAAGTGGTTTGTAAATAGTTAAAGCCATATCTAAGCTACTTTTAAAACCGTGTATTTATTATATTCTGCAAGTTCGAAATTCAAA